GAATTGTCGGGAGATTACTAGATATAGTGTAGTCTTGTATATATAAGACCGGCCACGAAACGACGGGGAGGCAATGAGTAATTGAATGTATGCGGATAAAATATTGTTGGCCACGTGAGACGTGAGTTATAGCGTTGTTATAGAGTGACTGTTGAAATTAAGTGTATCGTAAAGCTGTATTCGGAAAGAATAAACCAGTTTTATTTAAGAAAGGACTTGTGTCGCTAAAGTTTCGTCGAACGAATTTACGGAAAATTAATTAACAAACGGAGACGTAACAATAGTGACTCACCTATAACAATCTCCACAAGAGAATCAAAACAAATATCGTAAGTATTTAGCTAAAAAGTTCTTGTTTTCATACATTGTATACCTTCAACAGTTTGCTAGAATTATTTTATTTGCTAAATTGAAATAATTATAATCAAGGTTAAGCTTACTGAAACAATAACACTTGTTTGTTTTACTACTTAAACAGAATATTACGTATTCAACAAAGTGGATTGCTGGAAAAGTGGGAGGAAGATGTGAAAAATGATCTGCGCAAAAACGTTACAATCCAGAAACAGGGAACCACACCACGCCCTCTGAAGGTGGGCGATGTAGTTGGAGCTATATATTTTCTCTTAATTGGACACTGTGTATCCATATTTCTTCTGCTGGCTGAACTGGCTCATAACAAAAGTAAATTGTAAATCACGAACTAGGACAAACAATATGTAATACTAAATGCATAATAGCACAGTTATGCACAAGCAAACTTAATAAACTATCAAACATACTGCTGATGTGAACGTGCTTTGTAGTCATAATGAGAAAAACCGATACACTGGATAGGTGAAGTGAAGAAAAAGTGTTACTGACCACTATTTAGTTTTTCACATTATATAGCCGCACAGTAGCGGATATGATAAATAAACTTAGTATTCTGAAAATTGTTTAATCTCGAAATCTAAGTTCAAGGGAGGTCCAGTTCAACTTACACTTTGATCAACGTGTGTTATTGGGTTGTACTAGTTTCGGAGAATTCCATTCCTTATCAGTAACCCCTCAACGGTGTATAGGTTATTTCTCATAGTGACTACAAAGCACGTTCACACCAATACTGTGTTTGATACTTTTCACTGTGATTTAGGTTCACTGACTTCCTCATAACACTATACTCGTGATTCGCCTAAAGTGAAATCGAAACAAGATTCATTTCTTGTCTTTGGCTTTTAGTGAGTCAGTAAATTAATTATATTTTCTGATTGCCGGTGGAAAGAACCATAGATTTATATCCTATGTTTTCCTAAAGTAGACTGTGGTGTACTGTAATTTTAATCTAGCTATGTGATATAAAAAGTCTTTGGATGTCACTTTTGTGCTTGCATTAGTTTTCAGTGTATTTCTTTCATAGGCTGAACAAATGAAATATATCAAAATCTAGTATAACATATGTTAATCGAGATTACAGAACCCAAAACGATGTGCGTTTTTTATTATTTAGTTTTCCTCCATGTGTGAGTGTAGCCTAATTTCCACAAAGTGTTAAATTAGACTAATAATTATCAAATATTATTTTAAATTCGTTTTGTTGAATGTGAACAGAACATTATACTTCTGTCGTATGTATTTCTCGATTAGATCAATAATGATCAAGTATTAAAGTATAATGTTCTGTTCACATTCAACAAAACGAGTTTAAAATAATACTTGATAATTATTGATCTAATTAAGAAATACATACGACAGAAGTATAATGTTCTGTTCACATTCAACAAAACGAGTTTAAGTCGTATGTATTTCTTAATTAGACCAATAATTATCAAGTATTATTTTAAACTCGTTTTGTTGAATGTGAAGAGAACATTATACTTCTATCGTATGTATTTCTTAATTAGATCAATAATTATCAAGTATTATTTTAAACTCGTTTTGTTGAATGTGAACAGAACATTATACTTCTGTCGTATGTATTTCTTAATTAGATCAATAATTATCAAGTATTATTTTAAACTCGTTTTGTTTAATGTGAACAGAACATTATACTTCTATCGTATGTATTTCTTAATTAGATCAATAATTATCAAGTATTATTTTAAACACGCTGGCCAGTGTTATCGCTGTCTATATGTCAGTCTGTCCGTTACTACAATGAAACTGGGTCTGAACCTAGAGTAGGGATGTTCAAAATGTGGTGTTGCATTTGTTTAATTTACAGGTAAAATAAATAATGCCTGTTTAATTACCTATTGTTTATTAACTCATTTTATAATGAACCTGCAGCATACGTTCCTGGTGGATAAACGTTCAATGGAAAACTGTTTTACTTCACATATGTATATGAAAGGGAGTTAGTAATTAAAAGCACAATTGGTAACAAATTTCCTGTAACACAATAACTATATATATTTATTCTTCTAGAACTAGTGGATTAGTACAAGATTCATTTTATATATATAAAATAAATATTAGTAGCGTAAACAACCAACATAAATAGCTTCATCAAGAGAATTACCTCATATCTATTTACTGTGAATTGCTTTCTCAAATTTTTGAAAGTAGGAAAAACCTTTAATATTCAATTTTTTTTATATTAATATTGCAATTTGAGCGAAAACGTTATAAGGTGACTTTCACAAGTTCATGACCTTGTCAATCCACGTTCTGAGTTTTGCCACGTGAGTGTAAAAACCGTACTGGCCCCTATTCTTACAACCGTGTCCCCAGCTGACGATTCCGATTTGAATCCAATAGTTCATGCCTGATTCGTCAAGTATTGATTGTGCCAGTGGACCGCCACTATCTCCTTGACAAGTGTCTGCAATACCTAACGAAGAAAGGAAAGTGATCAGTCATTATTAGAAAAATTCAACTCCTACCACATGAATTCATAAATTTAAGAAACTAATGTATAGAACTAAGAGTTTAAAAACAATATTTCGACAGTTTATATTATACAAGTATATTCTAAACTAAAAGTTTTAGTTCATCCCTTGAATTTACATTAAATACAGAATCACTCAAGAACTCTCAAACAATGAAAAAAAAACTACTCCCAGATGGCTCAGCTATAATTGTGAGAGCTTAAAAAGCTTAAACATCACGTTTCAATCCCTGCAGTTGGCAGAGTATATATAGCCCAGTGTGTAGCTTTGTGCTTAACAACATTATTATTGGAATAGAAATTAATCAATACATGTTCATAGTTACCGATACTCAATTTCTCTCGAGGTAAAATCCATCAAATTATTTAATTATCAGTCCAGAACAACACATTTCACGATATTATGAAAGTAAATTACCAAACTATGCTTTAGAAAAAACAACAAAAAACATTGTACTGACTGATGGATTAAACTACTCAATTTGATATAAGACTTAGAAAATGAAAACATTAATTACCGATATAAAAATCACAGTAAACTAGCAGAAACGCCGCCCTATGGGTAATCACAAATCGTAGTATTAGTACCTCATTGAAAACCAATTAACATTTTTTTCTCAGAAGTGCTGCACGGGAAAAATGTTCAGATTGTGGTCTTTAGTCATACGAAACTCATTGCATCAAAATGAATCAATGTACAGAGCTCAAAATTCTATTGATATAAACTGTAATGTTTTAATATATTCAAAGTGTTACCGTTTATTGGAAAAATTAGTTTTTTAAGAAGTCCAGTTTCTCAGTACTGCATTTAAAAATTACATCAATAAAGATAAAATCAAACCCTCATGTACAGTCCTAGTGAAAGTCTTGTTATTGTTGTGAGGAGAGTACTTTTAATTATAATTATATTCTGTAATGAACAAATGGTTGTTGTACATACCATAGTAAATTTTATAATTGTCCGAATCTTGAATACTCAAAGGGTGAATTTTTCTATAGATTTTTGTTTGTGGTGTCATTCGATAGATGGCGCAGGAGTTTTGGTAACATACATAGATACTGACTTACATGCTACGTCCATTATAGTAAGATTACCGAACTAAGCTTCATACAAAAGAACAGTACTGACTGATGGATTAAACTATTCTATAAGACAAACGATTTGATAAACGAAAACATTAATTACCTGTCATACAGTAAGTTATCAAACTAAGGAATTAATTAATCCCACTATTCGCCTAAAGTAGCCTAAAAGTTGGCTATCACTTCTACATCAGGGACGGCAACCAGAGATAACCCTTCCTAGAACAAACACAGGTGGTGTTCGTATCAAAACACACGGTAGGTAGTGTGTGGTGTTGTCAAAACAACTTGCTGCAGGACAAACTGTGTGTTAATAACAGAAGTGATAGTTTAGCGATTTTCCACTTTCTGCAGCTTCAACTGTGGTAATCCAAACTATCACATATTTTCAGTGGATATGCTCTACTGGACTCTTACTTTACGTACCAAATTTCTAGGCAATCCATTAATAAATAACTGAGATATAACATCTCCAATCTTGATCAAGTTTCTTCATTTTTATTTCTTCGCACCAAAAGTACGGAAACTTTACTTGACAGAAAAACATACTTAACTTTTATGGATTTTTAAGAAATTTGGTACACTGATAGATCTTTTCAACCTCCAATAACAAGTCTCATTTGGTGTAAATACAAGCCACGTGTGCAAAGTTATTCAACAAATATCGCTCAATTTTGACCAAACTTTTTGCGCACGCCTACGCAAAAAGTCAGGTGAGCTATCGGTCTAACATTTTTACTACAGCTTCACCTAAGAGTAAAAATGGGCTGTTTTTGTTTTTTGTCATTTGGAGTAAAGACGGCTGATTTAGAGCAGCAAAATTATAAAGTAAAGGACGTGCAGATACATAAGTACTGGTTATGCCAAGCAAACTAGATTAGCTGTTTCTAACTCAAGTTTTCAAAATAATCATACGGGTGAATGGTTTTTATTGATTTTTAAGCATACATTTGCTAAATTTTACGAAATTTTCCTAATTAAAGAGCGTTTAGCATCACGTGATATTAGCTTAAGCAATTAGCATAAACAATGATGCTTGATACGACTGTACCGATTGCATGGGGTGATGACAAGAAACTGTTAATATAAATTCCATGGCGTTACTATAAAGGAAGCCATTGACACTGTTTTAGAGAGGAAAACTACCACCATATATATTTTAAAGAATCTGGTTGGTTCTGTAAAGTAAAGGTCTGTTC